ATAAGCATCGTTGCTGTGCTGATGCTGTGTCATAGCCAGGCACAAAACCCGGAAGCAAACAGCGTTGCGTCGATGCGATCGCATCATTGCAGCAGTGATGGGTGGAGGAGAAACACCTCTGCTCCCAGACCCCACAGTGAATGCTGAGCAATGGCAGAGATTTGCAGTGGTGCTTTTGCACCTCCCATGTCAATGAGAGCAGGGTTTTTTTTCCTCTTGAATCTTGGCACCTAATGAATTGCCCAGTTTATGTGTTCAATATAATAGCCCCTCTCTTTGCTGTGTTCCCGCTGTCAGTCCTTGGCAGGCTGGAGGGAGGAGAGGGTCCCGTCAGCTTCCCTTGGCTTGCAGGGGGAAGAGCTGGCCTGGCAACTTCTTGTGCCAGGCAATGCACTGAAAATTTGGTATGGAGCCTTTAGGGCTCAGCAGGCAGGGAACCAGCGACTGAGACATCTGTTAGCTGACTAGAAAGGTGGCAGCCACCCTGTAAAGGCTTACACTGTTGTCACCTCCTGAGCTGAGTAATGAGCACATTGTTGTTTGCATTGTGAGAGCACTCGAGTGGCTGAGGGTATATCTCAGAGCTAAGCAAAGAAAGTGCCCTGCCTGGGGGGGTTTACAGCTGGGATGTGGAATAGAGGCCAGTGATGCGTCCCTAATTCAGGAGCTTCTGGTCATTCTTCCCTCCACCTCCCCTGCTTTCCCCAAGGATGCTACAGAGTGTGGCTCTGCTCCAGCCTGGAACGTTGTCCAGGTAGAAGAGGAATTTTATCCCTAGTTTTTCTGGACATTTGGGACTTTGTAAGAAAACTGCAAGCAGCCTGCCTGACAGTAGGACTCTGGTAAATAATAAATGGCCCCTGACCATGCACAGCTGGGCTGCATGCCCAGGGAGGCTAACCTAATTCACAGACCTTGTGTGTGCCCAGATTTCTGTTCAGGATTTCACTGCAGCAAGTACTCGTGATGTAAAACAGCAGGGGTGCCCGGTCATCAGAGGCCGTGGCAGAAGTGCAGGGTGGCAGTGTCCCTTTGCTTTCAGGGCTGTGCCTGTCCCTGAAGCCCATGCTTAGGCTATGGTGGGGAATGAATACTTGCATGGTGACCAGGGGTTTGCATGGAAGTTTATTTCATGAAGAATATAGCAAATCACTTGTCAACGTTAACCCATAGCTCCCTGCTAGTCAGTTATGTTTGTGTCATTTTTCCAGCGTGTTCATGGACATGCCTGTATACCGTTAGGTGCATATAGGTGTTTGGTACGGCTGCTTTGGCTGAGGACAAGCCACCCCTAGTCCGGAGCAGGGTGTATGAGGCAGGGCCTGTTTGCTTGGGCACGGTGTGCTGCTGGGGTGTCCGCATGGCACTGAAACCCCACCGGGGTTGCTTGTGCCCATCAGTACCATCTGTGTAAAGGTGCTCTGCTTTGCTTGTGCTCCTGGCTTGCAGCGATCTGTAACATGTCCTACAGGCAGGCTGACAGCTCGAGCTGGCTGGGACAAGTTCCAACAAAACCCTTTTTCTTCTGAATTTGCTGCTTTGATGGGATGGAAATGTGTGTCAGAGATGTTTCCACATCTATCAGGTCCTGATGAAAGCTGGGCAAGGCTCCACGGCACCTTCCCCGGTGGCTTGGCAGACTACCTGGGGAGCATCAAGTTTTGTGGTTTTTTGGCAGCCGCGTCTCTCCCATGGCTTCCTATTCCTGACTGGGGGCAAACTTAGCCACAGGCCAGCTCAGGTGCAGGACCTGCTCCCTTTTGCAACAATTTTGAGCAGTTTGTATTTTCTTCTGAGCAGGAAGGGGTCAAGAATTAAAATGTTGAGAGGCTCCATAAAGTGCAGTTTTCTTTCTTCACCAGAATTTCTTAGACCCTCTGAAATTCTGAAGACGGCGAGACTTTTTAGCTAAACATTCAGTAATTCTTTATAAACTGTAAGTGAGGCTTAATTTAATGGATGACTCACATAATTGAGTGCTTTCCTGAAACTGCATTTGTATCCTTTTTAGTTTCAGATCATTCTATACCTAGGTTTGCCACTTATGTATAGTTATATATAAAAACATAAAATCCTTATGTCCACAATTGTTTTTCTGGGGTTGTACTTCTGCTTTATTTTAGTCTGTCTTATTTTCCCAGCCTGTTACATTTATTTCTATTTATTATGCATCTTCTCCTATTTTAAAAAAAATATGGAACATCTTGATGAGCATGCAGGTTTTTTGACTCATTAGCAGTGACAGGTGCAGTGCTCTGGTAACATTCTCTGCCCGTATCAATAAGCTCTTGCCTCTTGTAATTGGAGAGCATTAATGATTAGGAAGGCAATTGAATGAGCTTAAAAAGAGCTCACAAGATGGTGGTCTCTGCAGGTCAGCAGGCAGTGTGGTAAATTGTCATGGTGAGGAGGTGGAACTGCAGCACATGGCAAAATAACTTATGACCATTCAGGCTGCTGATTCGTAAGTCCTGCAATTACAAGTGACAGTAGAGAGGCTGGGAGAAAATAGGGAGCCTGCTCTGGCAAATTTCGGACTGAGGACTTGCATTTGTCTCCATCCTTTAATGAGAGGGTGCCAACACCTGAGGCAGGTCCTGGGGACGTATTTCATTGTGGTTCTGTGCCTTCATTCCCCCCTAAGGTCATCTCGCTGCTGCAGAAGGTGGAGAAGAGCCTCTCAGACCTTCTGTGTGCATACGCTTTTGTGATGTGCTGTATTTAAATGTCTTTTCCTCCCTTCTTTCTCCCCTTAAAATGTCTGTTTCTCCCTTTGCTTTTCTAGAATGATATAGGGGGCTATAGAGGCTTTGAACCTGCAAAATTGTTCAAGTACAAGCTAAAAAGTAAATATGTAACATGTAACTGAGAAGTTAGATTGAAGAAAGGTTGTTGTAACACCCCTAGCTCTTCCTTAGCACTTTTTAAACAATAAATTATGTAAATTTTGTCTGTATCATTGTCCTGGTTTTATAGATGAAGAAATATATCAACTTGTTTAATTGTTTTCTAAACTGAGAACTTGGGACATGCATGGTTTATGTGCATGAGTAATCCTGTAATTAAACCAGGAATTGAGTCTGGAGTGAGGAGTACAAAACATGGACAAAATGGAGATTCTGAGTTACTGTTTGGTGAGCCAAGGAAATAATTTACAATAAATGGGTTTTTTTAATATATGAATGGGAAAAGAAATCTGTGGCTGCTTTAGAGTTTTCCAGCATTCACAGTCACTTGGCAAAAGTCTTTCCAAAAGTGTTATGTATGTGTTGTGGTTTAACCCCAGCTGGCAACTCAGCACCACACAGCCGCTCACTCACTCCCCTCCCTAGCCGGGTGAGGGAGAGAATCAGAACGGTAAAAGTGAGAAAACTTGTGGGCTGAGATAAAAACAGTTTGCTAATTGGAATAAAATATTATAATAATAATAATGATGATAATAATAGTGTAATGAAAAGGAAAATAACAAAAGATAAATAAAACCCAAGAAAGACAAGTGATGCAAATGAAGGCAGTTGCTCACCACCAACTGACCCATGCCCAGCCAGTCCCCCCAGCAGCTCCCCCACCAACCTCACACCTAGTTTTATTGCTGAGCATGACGTCGTATGGTGTGGGATATCCCTTGGATCAGTTGGGGTCAGCAGTCCCAGTTGTGCCCCCTCCCAACTCCTTGTGTACCCCCAGCCCACTCAGTGGTGGGAGGATGAGGAGCAGAAAAGGCCTTGACTCTGTGTGAGCCCCGCTCAGCAATAAGGAAAACATCCCTGAATTATCAACAGTATTTCCAACACAAATCCAAATCATAGCCCTATACCAGCTACTATGAAGAAAATTAACTCTATCCCAGCCAAAACCAGCAGAGTACTGAAGTTACAGACTTTCCCTGTTTCTGGGTAGGTGGTAGGGTGCTGGCATTTCCAGTATGACTTCTTCAATGACAGAGTTCAAATATTGGTTGTCAGGAATATGCAGTAGGAAAATTTACTTTCTGTAAAATGTATTTTTTGAGAACAGAGTGTAACTATTTGAATAGAGAAAAATGGAAACAGATGATTGTTGTGAACAGTGCCCCGGCAGACTTCATATTTGAACAGTTCTTCATGGGGAAAAAAATGTTTGCTTTCTGGCACTTCAGAAAATACCAGGAGGCAGGAGCTCTTGTCTGCGGTTTGTGTGATATTTCAGGTTAACGAAACTTTGGAGGCTGCACTCCTGTCCTCATTCATGGATTGAGTGAGATACGGTGTGGGGAGTGTCCCTACAGAGTGCTCCCAATTAATCAGCAGCCTTTGGCCTGCAGGGGTCACAAATTAGACAATTCATTCTTCATGCCCACTAGAAATGAGGTGTTCTGCTGTTGGCCTGTAACACAGTACAGGAGGCTCAAGCTGTGGGCCGTGTCCCGTGGCCACCTCGGTGGAGCAGCTGAGTTGACCCTGCTGAGTTGACGTTGCTTAAAGCAGCTTCCCTGGGCAGGAGCT